CTGGTGGCCCAGCGCGCGGGGCGGGGAGCGGTGGGTGCTGTGGGAGGAGGAGGAGGAGGGATGCTCCGGGGGTGCCGGCCGGCGGCAGGGTTGGCCCCGCTGCGGGTTGCCTGCCGCCGGCTCAGACTGGTTTCTGGAAAGTGCTTTGTCTTGCAGGCTGCATCCTGGGAAGGGTCATGTGGAGCCCAGTGATGTCATGGGATCAAAGCCTGACTCAGCTCCGCGGCCGGTGGATGGGTGTCCGCAGGTACCGAAGTGCGGGCTGAGATGTCAGAGCCCACCAGCGGCCAAACTTCCCGCGCCTCCGGCAGGCGAGGGGTTAAGCCTGGCTTCCCTGAGCCCAGCGCTTGCTCTGCGCCTGGAGAAGCCTGGCTTCTTCTCCAGGAGGGGAGAAAGTCTCAACTTGACTACTGCGATGGCAGCACCTTAGCGCCTGGCCACAGGCTGTCGAGAAGCGTGGAAGCCTCTCTCACGCAGGGTGTGGTGGTCCTTGTCCCCGTAGTCTCTGACTCCCGAAACTTGCAGTCAGGCTTAGGTCCTCCGAAAGGCACAAAGGCACGGCAGCAGTCCCAGGGAGATCCTAATCTAGAATTCTGTAATTGCCTTTATTTGCATGTGAGGCAAATACATACATTCTTCCTGCCTGCTGGTAAAGATCCAAACTCCCTTTGTCGTGGGGGTTTGTATGCTCGCCTGTGCTCCAGTGCAGGCTGTGTTTTTTTTTTTTTCTCCTTGGTGATTGTAGTTTGTGCTTGGTGGGGTTGGTGTGTGTGTTCTTGTTTTGCTTTTGTGTTTGCTTGTTTTTGCTTAACATGAAAAGTGTAAGTACAGTGGTGCTGGGTGCTTAATAGCTTCAGACTGAGATGTATGTTGCAGATAGGGTAAGGGAGCATACCGGCAAAACTTTTATTGCTCTTTCTGAACTTCTTTTGCAGTAACCGCTGTACTTTGCCCTGTTTTGAAATTAAGGTGTTTTGTCCAACTTACTTTTTTCCAACGTACTTAACTCGTTTGTGTCTGCTCTCTCCCCAGAGCCTGACAATGACAGAGGAAGCATGCAGGACACGAAGTCAGAAACGAGCGTTAGAACGTGAAGTAACGCATAACGATGTGGACAGTAAGAAAATAAAAATGGAGAAAGGACTATTAGGAACAGATATAAATGCTGAAGGAGACATGAAATTAAAAGCAGATCCTGGAGCTGGAAAAGTGCAAGGATTATTAAAAAGTGGAGAGGTGAAAGCAACCATTAAAGTGGAGGTTCAGACGGGAGATGAGCCTGTGGACATGAGTACCTCAAAAAGGTGAGTTGCGACCTACGTGCCGCAGTGGCACTGCGACGTTTGGGATAGCAGCACGGTAAAATGTGGTCAGATGGCGCCAGGAAGAAGTCCTCTGTGTCCTAAAGGTAGAGAGAATTCCAGCTTTACGTGTATGTTGCAGCTCTGGCTCTTCACATGAGATTCGACAGCTCCTTCTGTGTAACCTCCGCACTGATTTGCTTCCACGGGCTTTGACAGCAGCGGCAGCTGTGACGAGCAGCTGAGTACAGAAATACGGTCTTGAATAGAAAAAGGTGTGAGTTGTAAAGAGGATGCGCTGCCAGCTGCTGATTGAGGTGTATGTGAGGAAGAGTGGTTTGGGGTGTTTTAATTGAGCTGTGATATAGGAAAAATAATAGATTGTAATTGCCTGAACAGAGGAGTTTTAATTGCGACTTGATTCTTCCTGGCAGAGCGGTATGTACGGAGAAGTCTGACTTTCTTCTTGAAGTAACTTGTGGATTTGACACCAGAAGTATTCTGGAAAGACAGCACCTGTCTGCAGCAATTCCCTGTAGGACAAGTTCTTGATACTTTCTTGGAAGTCCAGCCTCCTTCAGATGTCTGAATTTTGACATCTGAAAGCATGAATTCAAAGTTCCCTATCACTCTGGGGAATTTTATTATTACAGAAGTGTAAAGCTTTTCCTCTGACTTGTATGCGAGATGCACAGGTGGATTGGGTGGTTCTGACTGACAGATTTACGGGCATCGCTTTAAGGCCGGATTCCGACTCTCCCACCATACTTCTAACCCAGATTCTAGCTGTGCCAGGAGAAAACTTTTGTCAAAAATTCTGTGGCCATGCTGTTGGCCCTTCAGAGTCTTGCTTTTTTCCTTATGGCACGGTAGTATTATATTGAGCGGAAGGGCTAGAAGCCTTGATTATTCCTGGTTCTGGCAGCAGCTGATGTTGGAGTGGTAAGGCGTGAGAACGGAGACCTGCCTGTCTGTGCAAACTGGCTGAAACCATTCTCGAAGTGATAAATCCGTGTTTGCTTGGACGTCGGGTGTTACAGCAGCGCGGATCTGAGGGGCGAAACTGAAAACACGAGATCCTCATCAACTGCACAGGAATTATCGGGAAGAGGGGCACTTGTGGGTGCGAACTGAGAAAATGGGCGCCTTTGGTGTTGGATGGCAGTTCATCTGTAAACTTCTTCCAACTTTGGGTGCTTTTCTAAGAGAAATAACTTGGACTGCAAGAGCATGATTACTTTGTCCTAATACTGGTTCAGTATGTGTGAAACAAGACCTCTTCCATCAGCGTGGCTGAGGGAAAGTCCTAGTTTTCAGCTTTCTCCATAACACTACTGCTGAAGGGACAGTTACATGTGACATTGAGGAGGTGCTTGTGTCTTGCGGAGAAGCAGTTAATTGGGGCGATGGAGGACTGCCGTGTCAGGCAGTTGTATTGTGCTGACTAGGGGTAAATCTCCAAAGGTGTGTTTTAGCGTAATTGATACCTACTAATTAACACAGGTATGAATGCTCTTTTTTTGAAGAATATCTAAAAAGATTGATCGTACCAAAAATTGAGTAAATTAGGATTGGCTATTCTAACCTTTGTTGCCGCAGTTGCCCCCACATGCCTATGCTCTTTGTGAATTTATAATATTTTTGAAACGTGTGCCAGTGTTTCTGCTCTGCTGGTGTCCGTCTCTGCAAGATGTGCAACTGGGATGGTGGACAAGGGGCTGTACGCGTAACTTCCCAGCGAGCATCCAGAGCAGTAACGCCTGTTTAGAGGAGATGAGAACATCCCCTCCCCGCACAGCGTTCTTATTTCAGGTGGTAACAGGATATTGTTGTATTCAGTTTCCACAAGGAGGGAGAAGAGGCTTCCCCGTACAAAAAATACACTTGCCTAAGGAGGCAGCCTGATCCCAAGTCAGCTGAAGTTAATGATGATAAATATAATTGCGAATTTTTCACAAGGCTTTGGATCAGCTCTTTGGATACTGTTTGTGAGTTGGAACACCTTTCATAATGCATATTTGTATAAAATTCTGAATAGAGACGAATTAAACCCTGGGTCATCTCGCGAGCCTGAAGGATCCCACAAACTTCTGGAAGTCCGACAGCGGCGTCCCTGTCTCCGGGGCTCCGCTCCCGGAGCATCAACGTGGCACTGAGCAGCTGACCGGCCTCGGCATGCAAAGATCTCCAAGCGAGCACGGTCCGAGTCTGGAGATGCCTGTGATAGAGAGGCAGCTTGGCTCTGGATGAGCCTGATCCCTGGCGTGCAGAAGAATACAGCTGGCATTTGTAGGGACGGTGGATCTTAATTTCGTAAGGATTTTTTTATTTTTAAAGCGTGGGACTTAGCTTTCCAGACCTCTGGTTTTCAGGGGAATTGAGCATGCAGCTTGCATCAGACCTGTGTCTTCAAAGCAGCTGAGCTGGTTTTCTGAGATGAACAAAGAGCTGTTGCTTAGACTGACCAAACTGCTACAAACTTTGGCGGTAAATTTCATGCTTAGTGATGTATGGTGTTTTGGCTTTTAGACTTCCTTAATGCTTTTAGAACTGAAAACATAATATTTTCCTTGGAAAAGTGGCCCAGCAATAACCACAGTTTAGCTGACATAAAGTTGATTGAATGGATTATCTTTCTAAAATCAGTTGATTTTCAAGATTTGAAGTACAAACCTGGCAATATCTCTGCGCTGAACTTAAATACATTTAATTTTTTGTTTCTTCCTTTTAAACCTTCAAGCTAAATTTAAAAATAGGATCTGGTTTGAGCACACTTTCTGATGCCAGAAGAAACAGAGGGAAGTCTGTAGTGGCAGAAGTCTTTGATGAGAGGTCGCGCAAGGCCAAACCAAAGTCTTGCTCCTCTGCCTGGAGTTTTTGCAGCGCTGGGAGCTCGCTATGCTGGCGTGTAATTATCCTGGGCCCACTGCGGAGAAGGAATGGGAGGAAGGAGAGTCCTCCCCCCGTGATAAGGACGTGTCTGGTTTGCAGTGGGATGGTAAAACAGCGAGGCGTGAATCGCTTTGCTCGTGAATGCACTGATTTCCACCAGTACGGGTGCTGGAGGGAAAGAACATTCGTCAAACCTGGTTGAATCCTGACGTCCTACCGTGCTTTCAAGCTCTGCTCTCCCTCTCCTCCGCTCTTCACCTTTCCTCTGTTCTTTCCTTCCCCTTAAATACGTGAGTTTCCTGCCATGCTGCCCTGTGTTGAGCATCAGTTGCTTCCAGCTGAGGCTGGGGCTTTCTCCTGGAGCCGTTCTTGGATCGTACTGCCTGCTGCATTTATTGCGCTCCAGATGTAGCCCCCTTCATCTGCAGCACACGTTCTGACCATTTTCCAGGGTTTTTTCCTAGTACTATTTCCCAAACCATACAAAACGGACTGGCTGCATACGCAGTACAGGTTAAGCTGCTGAGTTCTGGTGTACTCACAGCAGGGTTTGGTGGAGACCAGGAGGGATCTTTCTGGACACAGGCGTGGAACTGGACGGGCGTTGCTGTCCTCAGACGGGTCTACAAGGACAAATGGTTCTCTCTTCTGGAGCAAAAACATCAGGATTCTTCAGGAGCAGCGTGCTGTTACCCAAATTTTCGGAAAACCTTGCTCATAAGTAGAGGTGGGGGGTGTTTACAGGCAAGGTTGCTGCTTGACCCCTTAAGCAGCTGTGCTGTGCTTGGTTAAATCCTCAAAATTCTAGCAACTCTCCAAACAGATAACCTCAGAATAGGTTTTGTTTCGGAATTCTGGAAAGCAAGGCTTCTCCGTGGTCCAAGGAAAGGGACAGAGAGAGAGGAAACGGTTCTGTCGCAGCACACATGGCAATAGTGAGGATGATATTGTTAATCAAACACAAATGTGAGAGTTGGCTGCTGTTTGTCGGCTGATCCCCAGCTCTTGCTTGGTCTTGTTAGCAATCCTGGGATGAGTGTGTCCTCTGTACAGCAAACTGGAAAACCTTTTAGGCAGTTGAGCATCTTGCTATTTTTCCTCTTTGTTTTCCTCTCTGTGTTTTCTCTATTTACCAAGAGTGGTAAATTAGCCATACTGTCTTATCTGCATTAATTGTGGCTTGATCAAAAACACTTTAAGGCTGGCTGATAAACAGAAATTATTCCTACAGATTTTGTATCAGTTAGGTTCTTATTTTATTAAAAAATAAAAAACCCAAAACGAACAAAAACCCCACATCCCCAAACCACTCCATGTGTTGTGTCATCGTCTTGCATTAAGCTCCAGAGTCCGGATTTTCCTTCCAGTTGAAATACAAGTCTGGATAAGCCAAAAAGTCTGCATTTGATATGTTTGGTTTATTTTCCACAAAAATTGCTTGCCCCCATCTATTGTCTCTTGATCTGTGGTACAGTCAAATATCGAATATACCCACAGCTTTGAGCTCTTGCTTCTGGAAATTGTGTGAGGGCTGGCCTGACTTAACCTGCTGCTTGTTTGCTGAAATAAAAACCGCCAGGAAAGAGGGGACTGACGAGTTTGTGGACATCCCTAGGGCTGGTGCTCTCGGGCAAACGGTCTGTCTGAACTTTGCAGTTCCTTTACTTTTAGGTCTTGCTGGTTATGATTTGTGTGCTTGACAAATGTTGCGCTGCTCGGGAACCTCAGAATAATCGTGTTCTCCTTTTGTTACACGGGATAATTTAAAATACCCTCTAATAGAAATTGTGTTGAAAATGTGTGAAAGTTGGCCTAGTGGCCGTGGTCTGAATTTTCACGTTAGGGTTTGGATACTGAATTTTGGTGCTTTGAAGGATTTTGGGTTGGTACATGGGTTGTTTGGGGGGGTTTTTTTGTTTTGTTTTGTTTTTTCTAATTTGGCCAATCACACTTAAAAGTTCCTAAATGAACAGATTTGAGCCTGAAATTGTAATGTGTTCTTGAAAGAGCACATCGGGATGCAGCCGGTGTTGGCTGACCAGCCTCTCCCCTTTACTGGAGTTTACTGGGAGCAGTGTTCACGGCGGCGCTGGTGATGAGCAGTGGGGTCC